GGCTCAGTTGGTTAAGCGACTGCCTTCGGCTCAGGTCACGATCCTGGAGTCCCGGGATCGAGTCCCGCATCGGGCTCCCTGCTCGGCAGGGGGTCTGCTTCTCCCTCTCCCACTCCCCCTGCTTGTGTTCCCTCTCTCGCTGTGTCTTTCTCTGTCAAATAAATAAATAAAATCTTTAAAAATAAAATAAAATAAATAAAAAAAATAAAAAAACAAAACAAACTAACTTATAGCTATTAAGTTGCTTCTTCAATCAAGCAGCAACGGCAGCACAGAAACAAGTGATTTATTAGTCATATGTGCCACACACTGTGCTAACAGCTTTGCATGATTGCTTCATTTAATTTATAATAACTTTGTAAAGTAAGTGCCATTATCTTATAAGTAGAGAAATTAAGCTTAGAATCTGTCTAAAGACAAAGAGCCAGTAAGGTCAGTGAGCAAAGATTTAAACTCAAGCAGTCTAGGGGGCGCCTGGGCGTCTCAGTTGGTTAAGCATCCTACTCTGGGTTAAGCATCCAACTCTGACTCTGACTCTTGACTTCGGCTCAAGTCATGATCTCGGGGGGGTCATGAGATTGAGCCCCGCGCATCCACTCCATGCTCACCACGGAATGTGCTTGTCCCTCTCCCTCTCCCCCCCCGGCCATCCCCTTGCTCTTTCTCTCTCTCTCTCAAATAAATAAATAAAATTCTTTAAAAAACAAAACAAAACAAAACCTCAGGCAGTCTAATTCCAGAGACGGTGCCTAACCACAATGCTAAATGTGCTTGCATCTTAAAAGAACCAGTTTACAAAAAATTCATTATATACTCTGCAATAAATAAATGTCCTCCCAACCAAATACCACCCCCAAACACACACACACACACACACACACACACCAAATTAGGAATCAGACAATTTGAGCTATAGACACAAAGTTATACATGGTAACTGGCTGACCTGAAATAAGTCTCATGTGCCAACTGGTGTGACTGTATAAATGTACCAAATCTAGTGACTTCACACTTATTAGAAAGACTGAAAAAATATCATCACCTTTCTCCCCAGAATAAAATGACTAATATATAAACTCATATTTTAGGGCTAACAATCTAAGTTGATAGAAGTGTGGGGGAGCAGAGGTTGGGCTCAGAACCATAGGCAGACGTAGTCAATATTTACTAAAGCCCTGTCACTGTCTACAAGGGATATTTATTAAAGACATCAAACATTTCTGCTAGGAGATTAACCAGATCCACTGCATTTACATGAGCACACTGCCACTCTTATCTCAATTCTAAAAGCAGCTTAATTCATTTAATGTCTGCTGTATTTATGACAAAGTCTTTATTGTGCCCAAAGCTGGAATTTTTTTTTTTTTTAAGATTTTATTTATTTATTTGACAGAGAGAGACATAGCGAGAGAGGGAACACAAGCAGGGGGAGTGGGAGAGGGAGAAGCAGGCTTCCTGCGGAGCAGGGAGCCTGATGTGGGGCTCGATCCCAGGACCCTGAGATCATGACCTGAGCTGAAGGCAGACGCTTAATGACTGAGCCACCCAGGCGCCCCTCAAAGCTGGAATTCTTATTCCAGTTCTCTCTCTTTTTTTTAAAGATTTTATTTATTTATTGAGAGAGAGAACACAAGCAGGGGGAAAGGCAGAGGGAGAAGCAGACTCCCCACTGAGCAGGGAGCCTGATGTGGGGCTCGATCCCAGGACCCTGAGATCATGACCTGAGCTGAAGGCAGACGCTTAATGACTGAGCCACCCAGGCGCCCCTCTTATTCCAGTTCTGCCTGACAAGTCAAAGGAATATTTTACACAGCAAGCCACAGCATACTCTTTACCAAATACCACAGGAATTTCTGAGTGGCAGGAAAGGCCATATCTGACCCATTTTCCTCTCTCACAGAGCCGTGAACAAGAAAAGGCCACTGACCTTTTACCCAGATCAGAACAAGGTAGGTAAATCTTTCTCCTCCTTCCCACCAGAATATCTCTAGCTTCTCTTCAAACCTCATGATCCTTACATCGCACAAGGCCCTGGGCTAAAGGTAGCCCTGAAAAAAAGAGGTTCTATTTATTGAGACATTCTGAAGTAGCTTTAAAAAAAAAAACACAACACCTGTACTTGTTTAGATTTCTATCATAATTCAGCTTAAGCAACTGCAGACGAAACTAAAACCATAATAAAAATATGAATAGCACTGATGTTCTAGAAACACTACTGAGAAACCAAGGAGCTGATGTAAAAGGTAGAATAGTCAATAATTATGGCACCATTAGTGTAGCTTTGTCTGAGCTGCTCTGTGCCCTGGAGCTAGTCCCTTTGCCACTTTATGCCATTCATTCTGTATCAGTGATAGAGAACTAACTACTATATATCTCAGTGGAAGAGTGAGTAGATTAAATTATTAATAAGCAAAATGCTTTGGGCAAAAGTCGTATGAATGTTAAATATTATGATTTACAAGCATTCATTCTCCTAGCACTCCTGTGGGGTGAGGAAGTTATCTCGATTTCATAGATGACTAAACAGGCACAGGGGGTAAGGTCACATGATAAGCCTCCATTTACTTAGTCCCTGTGGGAAGGGAATAATACACAACTTTAGCAATCATATGAACTTTCTTGGCACATACTACACAATCTTTAATACATTCAATCCTTAACTTAATGTTGCCATCTTTTAACATGCTGTCAATGGAACAAAAACAGCTCTAAGATAGCAACAAGGCCTAAGTAAGCAAAGATGAATAAATCTCTGTGCTTTAGCAAGAATAATCATAAAAAGACACATAATCTTAAGATGAAATTTGCAGGCGCCTGGGTGGCTCAGTTGGTTAAGCATCTGCCTATGGTTCAGGTCATGATCCAGGGGTCGTGGGATCAAGTCCTACATCAAGCTCCCTGATCAGAGGGGAGTCTGGTTCTCCCTCTACCCACCTGCGTGTGATCTCTCTCTCACACTCTCTCTCTCAAATAAATAAATAAAATCTTAAAGAAAAAAAGATGAAATTTTCAAAGTTTCGCCTCCACTACCACGTAAGAACCTTCAGCCATAGGAATTAAGGAACATGGTTTGCGATGAAAACACTTTGAAAAATTTTTAAAGGCTTTCATAGGCCTTCCTATTGGTGTGCCCCATCCAAATTCTCTGGGAGTGTATAGCTGCCCTTCAGGCTTTAATCAGCAACTCTGCAGAAAAAGAAAACAAGTCCAAAGAGACGGAAGAATGAACAAGTACCAAGGAGAAGGGCTTAGGAAGTCCAAAAAAGGGCAAAATGCTACCCATGGATAGTAAGAATATAGAAGCAGCACAGAAGATATTTCTACTCTCACGTAAGGCTGCCTGCTATATTGCTTACCCGACTCCGAAGACAATCAGCCAGGTTTCGGCGTGTGAAATTAGCTGCTGCTGTGGGAGACAATTCATAACCTGGAACAAGAGATAAACAGTCATACTTAAAGTGAAGCAAAAGGAGTAACAGCACCCAAAATCATTCCACTACTCCTGTTTTTACATCCTTCCACTCTCTGTACGCCCAGAGTACATAAAGTACACAGAATGAGGAGTACAGTCGTATTCCTTGTCCCTTTCCCCATGCAACAGTTGTGAAATAGCGGGTCAGCACCGACAGTAATTCCTGGCCACAACACAGAACCAAGCCTTGCTTAAGCTGTTCATTCATCAGCAACCTGTGGGTTCCTCTATAGAAAGAAGGGGTACAAATACATAGGTATTGGGGAAAAAAGAAAGAGGTCTCGAGATACTGATTTTTAAAGCTTATTTAAAAAGAATATTGGGAAAAAGGCTAGAAGTTAGGATGTCCTCAGGGTCATACTCTACAAGGTTTTCTTTTAAAAAATAAATAACTTTATTAAATATGATTTTCAAAAGTACAAGCAATAGAAAAAAAATGTTTCCATCACTATCTACATTTTAAAAACAGAGTATCTCAAGAAAGGTTGTAATGCCAACAAAACTACAGCCCAGAGGAATGCCATCAGGTGTGTGTTTAATAATGCACTCACTCTGGAAACCCCCTCCCCCACCCCCAGAGTAAAATGGGACTAGAGTCAAAAGCCACGAATGACCTGCAACTGAGCAGACCCATGCAGAAAATGCAACTTTGGAAAGAGAGAGAGCAGGTGGTTAAGTTATTATCAAACACCAGTGTTACAGCAGGTAAGATTTAGATTAAAATTCTAACAAGTATTTATTGAACAGCAGCTATGTTTCAGAGTCTGTGCCAGGTGCTTTCACAATTTATTGAACTTCATCCTCACAACCAATCTATTAAATTATAATGCAAGCAACAGTGAACAAGCAGGAATACTTTTCAATTCTTCACCTAATCCCCTAAACATCACTAAGGATTTGACAGTTATCTTAAAGGCAGAAAGGTCTAATGCCTATTTACATATAGATTTTTCCCCCTTTCCCTTATTTTAGCTCAGTTCTTGACCTTTAATATGCATAAGAATTACTGTGTAGGGTTACATACACAAAACTACACTTGACACGTAATTTAAAAGATTTTAAAGGCCATTTTAATCATACATGATTTTTGTTCTGTGCACGGACTTTAAACCCTAACACCCACACAACAAGCAACCCTCTCAACTCTTGTTTACTCTCCCTCCCTCTCCCAGGACAGGACAGTGAAGTATTGCTGTAGTTACTGTACTTGAGAAACATTACTAGCATCCCTCACCTGCCATGTAGGCATGAAGTAGAGAACCACTAAAAAATAATTCTTGAAATATTCTCAACTTGCTTAAACCTGAGTGCCACGTGCTTTAGGTTCTTTTTTCATCTTTGAATTCTCTGTGGTACTAGCCAGAGTGCTTAAGATAGAGGAGGCCCTCAAAAGTATTCATGGAACTGGGGCGCCTGGGTGGCTCAGTCATTAAGCGTCTGCCTTCAGCTCAGGTCATGATCCCAGGGAGCCCCGAGTTGGGCTCCTTGCTCAGCAGGGAGCCTGCTTCTCCCTCTCCCACTCCCCCTGCTTGTGTTCCCTCTCTCACTGTATCTCTCTCTATCAAACAAATAAAAATCTTTAAAAAAAAAAAAAAGTATTCATGGAACTGAATGCATGATGCTAAATTTGCTGCCTAAAATCTATATAAATGGGTCATATCTAGCCATTTTATACAATTATATTCAATTTAAGTTCTTTCACAGTTCCACATTATATCAGTGCTGTGTATAAGTGTATTGAACTGTGGAAGTAAATAACTGAAGTAAGGTCCTTTCTGCTAGGGTGTCACTATAAACTTTCCTGGGTCATAAAGCTAGTGGCTAGTATTATCTGATAGTGAGGCTTCCTCTAATGAGGAAATCCTAGTGAGGAATCCTCTAATGAGGATTAGAGCGCATTAGCCCCAGAGGGAACTCACAAAAATCCTAATTATCTTCCTAGACAAGAATCTACCAGTAAGGCAAGGCAGAACTCTTCTATGACAGTAAATCTCCCACAGTTACACAGAGCATTAAGCTTATAAACATTTTACATATTATTCATTAATATTATTATTATCCCATTTTAGAAGTGAGGAAAATAGGGCGCCTGGGTGGTTCAGTTGGTTAAGCAACTGCCTTCGGCTCAGGTCATGATCCCGGAGTCCTGGGATTGAGCCCCGCATCGGGCTCCCGGCTCAGCGGGGAGCCTGCTTCTCCCTCTGACCCTCTCCCCTCTCATGCTGTTTCTCTGTCTCTCTCTTTCTCTCAAATAAATAAATAAATAAAATCTTTAAAAAAAAAAAAAAAGAACTGAGGAAAATAAAGACCAAAGAGGCTAAGTGACTTGTCACATTAAAAAAATAGTAAAACCAAGTTTAACTAAGGTCTTTTAACCCTGAGGTTCAGATATACTTTAGCTCAAATAACATCCTCTGAAATACCTAACACTTAAAAAGTCTGATACTACCATGTTCATCTCCAAGGTAGCCCTCAAGTATCAGTGTTACAATGGTTCTCTTTTCAGCTCTGGGATTTCTGCAGAAGATCTTTAGGATCAGGAGGGTCTAGATAAAGTTTTAAAAGTAGGAAGATTCAAATAAAAATATGACCACACTGGTCTGCTCATGTGTAGAATTGCCAGTAGATTCTTTTTTAGTTCAAATTTAAAGACAAATCAACCACAGTTACATTCCAAGTATTACCCACCATTTCTCATCTTATAAAGTTGCACATTTTTCTGAATATATTCTGCAAACTGTACAGTGTCTCCAGCCTCTCCAACACATAGGAGTAAGATTTTTTCACTCATCTTAAACATCTTGTCATGATCTGCTCAAAGAAAAAATGTGTTAAAAATTACATCAGAAATTTACTATTATATAGATAGCCACAAACAGGTTTATCAATCACTATATTGAATACTTTTACTAATCACTGTTTTTAGAAGACTTTAATGGGCAACTATATTAATTATTCTCTTTCACTCTCCGTGTTAAACCCATTGGTGTATTTTATTAAGGTCAATCTCAGTTGGAGAATATAGTTGAGCGCTGACAATTGAAAACACAGTTAAATACATTTGAAGGCACTAGAAATGCAAAAACTGAATCTTCAAAGAAACTGAAGGAATCAAGCCAATGGCCATTATCTTTAGGTTCATGATTTCAAAGCCCTGAAATATCTCTACAAATACAAATGTTAGTTATTTTATTTATACACACACAAAAGCATGTATGAAGGACCAATGCTACAATGAAAATTAAGGAGTCATCTCGAGAAAGAACAAAAAAAAATCAATTGAGACTATAAATCACCTCAAAAAGTCAATCAACACCATCTCCAAAGCAAAGAGAAAATTAAAATGACTGCCAGAGCAAAAATTCTAACGAATATTTTAACACTATTTAAAAATACCTCAAAAATCCCAATAGTCTAATCTTATCTAGTTGAACCAGACTCATTCAGATTACATAGATAAATAAATATTCAGATAGCAATTAGTGCCTAAGGAAGAAAACTCCATATTCAGTCTGTAGCTTCAGAAAAAGCCTAAATCTCCCTATCTCACTCTCACTTTCACTTTTCATTTTTCAAATACTGCTGAATAATCTTCCCTGGGAGACATGTTTCCTGTCTGAAAGCTTCTGAAATGCCAAAATCCCTTAATAGGATTTAAAGAACAAAATGCTACAGTTAAATATTCTACAAATGTTTGAGAGTTGTAGAACCACAATACAGCTTCTTAGACTTGGAAAAAAAAACACACAAATTGTACCTGCAGATATTATCAAACTGCCTTGAAACTCCTGAACAAACACACTTTTATTTGTTATAGGCTACAGATTTAAAGACTGTTAGTTTGCAAACTTGGTCATAAAAGAAAAAATTCAGGGCGTCTGCGTGGCTCAGTCAGTTAAGCGGCTGCCTCCGGCTCAGGTCATGATCCCAGGGTCCTGGGACTGAGTCCTGCATCAGGCTCCCTGCTCAGCAGGGAGTCTGCTTCTCCCTCTGCCCCCTGCCCCATCGCTATTTGCTCTGTAAGAAAATCTTTTTTTTTTTTTTTT